CTCTCTGTTATTAAAAGGCTTTTTGCTACACTCAGACTATGTGCTTGCGAGAGGGGAAGTATTGCGTCTTGGAGGCGCCCAGCGGGGGTGGTATATATTTGTCCCAGGTCACTGGGTGGGGGCTCGAGCCGGTTTGCATTGTGTTATTGGAATGGATCCCCTAGATATTGAACCCGGCCCTTGTTGCTGCTAACTCTGATTGGCAGAAGGGTTACATGGGAAAGGTTAAAGGAAACACATCACCCAGCTCTGTGGTAGGGAACATCACAAACAGTGTCTCTGGAATGTCAGGGCAGTTCACAGTCTGTTCCTTGTAAGTCCCAGGCCTTTTTCTCAGGCCCTGGCTTTGCTGCAGGGATGCTGTGGGTTGGACACGTGCTCTGGTGGTGGCCACACACTCTCAGGCTCTAAGTGGTAAGACCCTTCTTCCCAGTGTCGCCCCTGCCCTGTCGGGGTTATGATCCAAGCCTGGCCTGCAGAGCCTCTTGGCTGAGGCGTCTCCCTGTGCTGGGCCTGCTGCCCAGGGTCCCCCTCGGTCTCCCTAGCTGTTCACCGCACCCAGCTCTGGACTGCTCCAGCCCCAGCTCCAGCACTCTGTCTCAGCACTGCTGCTCTGCCTCCAGCTCCCTGGGCTGCTTCTTTGGCCCCTCTGGCTCTGGTTGCTGCAGCTCTGCTCCCAGGACAGGTGCGCTCTGCAAGCTGCTTCTGTGACTCTGCTCCCAGCATGGACCTGCTTCGTGGGTTGCTTTTCTGGCCCCTCTGGCTCTGGTTGCTGCAGCTCTCTTCCCAGGGCAAGTCTGCTCTCTCTGGGCTGCTTTTCTGGTCCCTCTGGATCTGGCACAGCTCTGCTCCGCAGCTTAGCTTGGGCCCCTGCTTTCTCCTTAGCTCAGCCGCACTCTGTCTGACCCAGGCAAATCCAGCTCACACAGAGGACAGGACCTCCCTGGCCTCCTGACTCCCTTATTAGCCTGCTCGCCCTGTCATTCAGGCTGACCTGGAGCACTGGCCTCTTCCCATTGTTCCTGGGGACTATCAGTTTCAGGGTCCTGGTTTCCCATAGACCCTTCCCCTTTTAGTACTGGGAGCTAGCCAACCAAAACACCCTCACTGAATGTTAGTAAGGGAGCAACAGTCCCCTTACATTAAGTCTCTTTCAGACTTCCCACTTTTCTCCCTTGTGCTGAATATAATTGATATATTCCCCCAGATGATATATGTCCCCCCAGATGCTTGCATTTTTCCAAGTTGAATCTTATTTTATTATTTTCTGACCCTATATCTCTCTTGTTTCTTCAGCCTGAAGAGTTAGTAGGGTGAGCCAGGTTGCAAACACCTCTCACCTATTTGATTATTCTTCTACCACAAATGCCCCTGTAGGATATGCCACACTTGATGGCAATGATTAGGGTGCTAACAAATTCATGGCCATGAAAAACACGTCACGGACTGTGAAATCTGGTCTCCCACTGTGAAATCTGATCTTTTGTGTGGTTTTACCCTAAACAGATTTCACAGGGGAGACCAGAGTTTCTCAAATTGGGGGTCCTGACCCAAAAGGGAGTTGCAGGGGGGTCATAAGTTTATTTTAGGGAGCTCATGGTATTGCCACCCTTACTTCTGTGCTGCCTTCAGAGCTGAGCAGCCAGAGAGCAGCAGCTGTTGGCTGGGCACCCAGCTCTGAAGGCAGTGCCCCACCAGCAGCAGCGCAGAAGTAAGGGTGGCGATACCACACCATGCCACTCTTACTTCTGCGCTGCTACTTGCAGAGCTGGGCGGCCAAACAGTGGCGGTTGCTAATTGAGGGCCCAGCTCTGCTGGCAGCAGCACAGAAGTAAGGTTGGCAATACCATGCCATGCAATCCTTACTTCTGTGCTGCTGGTGGTGGCAGCTCTGCCTTCAGAGCTGGGCTCCTGGCCAGCAGCCGCCACTTTCCAGCTGCTCAGCTCTGAAGGCAGCACCAACACAAGCAGCAGCACAGAAGTAAGGGTAGCTGTACCATAACACTTAGTGAGCTGGAAGCTAATTACTACCTTGTTTTTCTTTCTGTTTTTTTTTTAATTTTCAAAATCCGTTCTGTTTTCCCCCATCCTTTCCCCACTTCAAACATTTCTGAGAATGGAAAACTCAGCCTGTTCTCTCTGTGAAAATGTGTGATAGCATATGGATGTTTCTTTGTTTTCCTCACTAAAAGTTCATCTCTGAAGTCACTCATTTTAGCTTTCAGAGTAGCAGCCGTCTTAGTCTGTATTCGCAAAAAGAAAAGGAGTACTTGTGGTACCTTAGAGACTAACAAATTTATTTGAGCATAAGCTTTCGTGAGCTACAGCTCACTTCATCGGATGCACAAAAGCTTATGCTCAAATAAATTTGTTAGTCTCTGAGGTGCCACAAGTCCTCCTTTTCATTTTAGCTTGGGTTTATATATTTCTACATAGTGACTCCTGTGTGCTTTTTGTGTTTTGAGCACCTGGTGATGAGACTCATCACTACTCTAACTTTAGGGAAGATACATTTTGTTATCAAATTGGCATGGAATTAACTTTTTAGACAACATCTGGATTTTCACTGCAGCATTACCTCTGCTTCCCCATGGGGAGTGTTAATGCTATATTACTCTGGTAATTAAAGAAAGCCATTTTAATGTGATGCAAAAGCAGGAAAGTGCTTGAATTCTTTTTAACATTGGGGTGAGTCAATGGGCATGTTATACTAGATGGTGAGTGGCTCCCAGGGGCAATTACAAACTTAACTGAAGCTGATGTACGTTAGCCACCTTCCATTGGGGCTAAATGAAGGAACAATTAAATGGCCCATTCTTTAGTGATAACTGTAACTTTGGAAGCCACCATCCAAGGACTAGACCACATACAAGGTCTGGGCAGAAATTGGGCCATGCAGGCCAGGGGGTTTCTCTGGGGACAAACACAGGGGCTAGCGATTGCTTTGATTTTGTGTGTGATAGCACAAGCAGAGCCCTGATAGAGAGCCAAGAGAAACCTTTCTGGGAAGAGGGCATGCTGGGAAGGCAGACTTGAAACTGTGAGCAAGGAAACTATCTCTGTGGTTTAGGGAAAAAGGACTTTGTGTACATTCTCTGCAGTGAAACAGGATTGCATCAAAGAAATATCTGACTCTTTCATCAATTTCTCCCCCTAATGGGAACCACCTGTAAGGCCCCAAATATTTGCTAAGCATTCAGGCCACAAATGGCAACAATCAGTTAATGTTCTAATAATGGAATAACACTGTCAGACACAGTCCCATACAACTAACCAGATAAAAATTACTCCCAGACAGGATAAATAAAAAAATGTAATATTTATTTCACTTGCAATAGAGGGTACATTTTTACCATAGGCCACGGGGCAACTAGAGACACTGCTCCCAGTAACAAGCAGGGGGAGAGGATCACTCTGCAAATTGGGAAGATACCCCATCATTACAGAACTCAAATTTGCATGACATAGGCAGTAATGACTCGATCATGAAAGGGGATTATAAAGAAAAATCAAGCGAAACAGGGCTAGAAGGGTGAATGGCTTCACTGCCAAATCCAGAGAAGGAAAAGCAAGAACTGAAAGTGATGATCATAGAATCATAGAATATAAGGGTTGGAAGGGACCCCAGAAGGTCATCTAGTCCAACCCCCTGCTCGAAGCAGGACCAATTCCCAGTTAAATCATCCCAGCCAGGGCTTTGTCAAGCCTGACCTTAAAAACCTCTAAGGAAGGAGATTCTACCACCTCCCTAGGTAACGCATTCCAGTGTTTCACCACCCTCTTAGTGAAAAAGTTTTTCCTAATATCCAATCTAAACCTCCCCCACTGCAACTTGAGACCATTACTCCTCGTTCTGTCATCTGCTACCATTGAGAACAATCTAGAGCCATCCTCTTTGGAACCCCCTTTCAGGTAGTTGAAAGCAGCTATCAAATCCCCCCTCATTCTTCTCTTCTGCAGGCTAAACAATCCCAGCTCCCTCAGCCTCTCCTCATAACTCATGTGTTCCAGACCCCTAATCATTTTTGTTGCCCTTCGCTGGACTCTCTCCAATTTATCCACATCCTTCTTGAAGTGTGGGGCCCAAAACTGGACACAGTACTCCAGATGAGGCCTCACCAATGTCGAATAGAGGGGAACGATCACGTCCCTCCATCTGCTCGCTATGCCCCTACTTATACCCCTTATATTCTATATTCTATGATATTAGAAGGCCTTGTGGCACAACACTGATCATTAGCTGTTCTGTATTTCCATCTGGCCAGCCAGCAAGGAAGAGATGTCTAATAGCTGGGGCACGAGCCTGGGATACAGAGTGACCCGGGTCCAATTTCCTGCTCCACAACACACTTCAGATGAGCTGGGGCAAGTCACCTAGGCCCCACTCCTCACAGGCCTTTAGCCTCCAAATGTCCATTGACATGAGCAACGGTTGAAGGTCTGCGCCTCCTTCTCTCTGCCCTTGGCTGCAGGATGGCGACATGGGGAGGACAGCCAGACGGCCATCCCCCCCTCACAGGGGAGATTCAGTCAAGAAGATGGTCAGGCACTTGTTACCATGGTCATGACCCCATTTGAACACATTGTGTGATCGCTGTACCATGCCAGTGACAGCAGTGGGGTGGGGTCACCAAGGGAGGCTGCCTCTAGAGGCTCCCCCCTCCCCACTGGAAAGGCCCTATGCCCTCCCAGGCCAGCATCAGGTTATAGCCATCGCCAAGCCAATAGAGGAGCTTCTGGATGCTGAATGGGTGGGTCACCTCTAGCCAATGGGAAAGCTTGTGGACACTCACGGGGCGGGAACTATAGTCAATATCAGCCAATGATGAAGTGACCTACTTTCGTTCTCACCCACTCCGCGAGCTCGGTCTTCCCCTGCGCTCTCCCGGTTGGTTAATAGGCGAAGGAGGCGGGCTGTACTCATCTTCCATCCAATGAGAAGGCAGGGTTTGTAACAGCTGCCTGGTTCAGCCTATTATTGCTGGCGTGGGTAGTCTCGCTCCTTTCTTTGCAAAATGGCGGCGGTAGCTCAGGTCCAGTCCCCGTCCCCGTCCCCGTCCCCTGCTCCCGTCCCGGCAGCCCCAAGTCCAGCAGCCGCACCGCCAGTTGCGGCCACCCCAGCGGGAGGTGCAGCGCCGCCTGTGCCTCCCACTACAGCAGCCCCGGGTCCAGCAGGCCCGGCAGCGCTGCCTGGCCCCTTCCCCGGCGGCCGCGTGGTCCGGCTGCACCCGGTCATCCTGGCCTCCATCGTGGACAGCTTCGAGCGGCGGAACGAGGGCGCGGCCCGGGTCATTGGGACCCTGCTGGGTAAGAGCCCCCGGGGTGAGCAGGGCCCGGCTCTCTCTCCCCGCCTCCGTTCCCCCGGGGCTAGCGGAGCCTGGACCAGGCTGCCCCTGGCTGGTCCAGGCCCCTTCCCTCGCCTGGGTTCCACCTTGGCCCTCGCTGTAAGGGGAGCCTGAGCTTCACAGCTGTGCGGCGTCTCAGGGAAGAGCCTGGGGTGCTTGAGCCCGCCCAGCACCTCCTCTCAGTCTCTCTCTCTGCTCTGCAGGCACTGTGGACAAGCTCTCAGTGGAAGTCACCAATTGCTTCTCGGTCCCACACAACGAGTCCGAAGATGAGGTGGGTGATGGCCTGTGCTCCCTGAGTGTGTCCATCCTACCACAGAGGAGAGTTGGGAGACTAAATGGCATGACAGTGAAGCACTCTGAAGTACTCAGATGGAAGATGCTGAGTATTAGTGGGCTAGCTCACTTGGCTATCAGGATCGCTGTAGGAGTGAGAACAATCTCATCATGCTAATGTTTGTACTCCTTTCCTGCATGTTTCACCTTTTGCCTTTGGTATTCCGGAAGTCCTGGCTCTGTCTGAGTCTCTGTTAGCACATGTGGCTCTAGAATTCACTACCCTTTGAGTGAGGTGTGATTAGAAGAGTCTACACGTGATGTATGTTGGCAGGGTCTTTTGGTGAAATCCTACCATGTTGTCCTAGTGTATGGAGGGCAATGAAGTGCTAGTTCTGCTTGCAGTGGGCTGGTAACTACTAAGGGAAAGTTCTTCTCTGAATTCTAATTGACCACAAGAACCTTCCATTTCACTGCCCGCTGCTAGAATTTAAATTTTAAGCACTCCTGCAGTTGATTGCCTCATGCTGCTTTGTTGTGGTTTTCAGGTGGCTGTTGATATGGAATTTGCTAAGAATATGTATGAGCTGCACAAGAAGGTTTCCCCTAGTGAAATCATTTTGGGGTGGTAAGTCATCTTCTCCACTGCAAACATGTGACCTGTGCTTAGCAGTTATGTGGCCCCATTATGCACCTTGAAATATTGTACACTGCATTATAGATTTTGAATAAGCAGCATAGTTTGCTGAAATAACAGCTGGGGATATAGAATATAAATCTCAAGAAATGGGATATATTTTTTAACGTGAGACTAGGTATCATGGGAAGGGAATAAAGTGTATGTAGTGGGGCAATATTTTCTGATACTGTAGTCTTCTCCCAAGAGATTGTTGGAAAATCAGGTGAAGTGATGTAGGGAACTGCACTTCATAGACCTCTTGGGGTGGAGTGTGGAGAACCTCATTAAGTCTCTTGAGGTTCTGTGAACCAGCTTTGTTTTGTTCCTGAAGAAATAAATGCAAACCCTGACTCCTCTTTCTCTTCAGAAGGTTGTTGTGGAGGCCAACAGTTTATATACTTCAGTGAGGTCCGAGCTGTAATGAATTTAAGTTAATTATGTTTCGAAGATATTAACTGCAGGACAGTTAAAGCAGCTGGATTAATATAGTCCTGTATTTTTAACTCTGATGGTCAGTTCATGGAGGAATTGGGTTGTAGCTCTTTACCTAAGAGCTAATTTTCCTATAATGTGCTTTGAATTACTTTTAATCAGAGAGCAATTCAAAGCCTAATAAGTGCATCAAAAATCATGTGTCTGATTTGCAAAGTGCAGTGATGTCCTGAGCAGATGGTACTCAAACTTTTTTCCTTCACATCCTGCTACAAATTGATCATGTGTTCAGAGCAGAGTTGTGTGCACATCATTGCTTAATGGCAAATATCCCAGTATGTCTGCAATATGAAGTGTTGGATGCCCAGGTCTCATGTTCTTATGTTGTGTTTTCTAAGGTATGCTACGGGCCATGACATTACAGAGCACTCTGTCCTGATCCATGAGTATTATAGTCGGGAAGCACACAATCCAATCCACCTCACTGTGGACACCAGTCTCCAGAATGGGCGCATGAGCATTAAAGCCTATATCAGGTATTTTGGGGAGATAGATCACACTTTGGAAAGGGGATCGCCAGTGGGCTTATCAAAAAGGGACACAATAGGGTAGGGAGGGATTTAATTGATTGTCCTAATTAGGGCAATCTTGTCTCCTGGCTAGAACAGAGGCTGTGAACCAGGTCTCTTGATTCTATTCCCAGCTGAGTCTTTGATTGTGGTGCTGTGCTCAAGTGACTTAATCTCTGAGATTCTGTTTTCCCGCCTATACAATTGAATTAGTACTTGCCACACTCAACAGGGGTGTTGAGACTTAATAAAGTTTTGAGAATGGCTTGACCTCCACAGATGAATGGTTAGTATGAATGTCACTTCTGTAATTTCCTTTTGATTAACTGAATGCTTGACTTTCCCCATTGAAAACTATATATATAAACTAGGGGGACAAGTATAATAAGGGACCTAGACAAATTAGAGGATTGGGCCAAAAGAAATCTGATGAGGTTCAATAAGGATAAGTGCAGGGTCCTGCACTTAGGACGGAAGAACCCAATGCACCGCTACAGACTAGGGACCGAATGGCTAGGCAGCAGTTCTGCGGAAAAGGACCTGGGGTGACAGTGGATGAGAAGCTGGATATGAGTCAGCAGTGTGCCCTTATTGCCAAGAAGGCCAATGGCATTTTGGGCTGTATAAGTAGGGGCATAGCGAGCAGATCGAGGGACGTGATCGTCCCCCTCTATTCGGCATTGGTGAGGCCTCATCTGGAGTACTGTGTCCAGTTTTGGGCCCCACACTACAAGAAGGATGTGGATAAATTGGAGAGAGTTCAGCGAAGGGCAACAAAAATGATTAGGGGTCTGGAACACATGACTTATGAGGAGAGGCTGAGGGGACTGGGATTGTTTAGTCTGCAGAAGAGAAGAATGAGGGGGGATTTGATAGCTGCTTTCAACTACCTGAGAGGTGGTTCCAGAGAGGATGGTTCTAGACTATTCTCAGTGGTAGAAGAGGACAGGACAAGGAGTAATGGTCTCAAGTTGCAGTGGGGAAGGTTTAGGTTGGATATTAGGGAAAAACTTTTTCACTAGGAGGGTGGTGAAACACTGGAATGCGTTACCTAGGGAGGTGGTAGAATCTCCTTCCTTAGAAGTTTTTAAGGTCAGGCTTGACAAAGCCCTGGTTGGGATGATTTAATTGGGGATTGGTCCTGCTTTGAGCAGGGGGTTGGACTAGATGACCTCCTGAGGTCCCTTCCAACCCTGATATTCTATGATTCTAAGTTTTTAGCGACAAAGAACCCCTGGGAATCTCTAGAATTCCTCTGGACCAACAACTGTGTAACAACTGTTACAGTTCCCCACAAGTGTGAATGCGGTTCTTGGTGAGAATGAGTAACCTGCTCAGTCTCTTCTGCTTCAGTGTAGGGGAGGCAAACCAGATAAAGGGTTGAGGCAAACCAGATAAAGGGTTACTGTCTCCTCCTTTGAATAGGTTTCAGAATAGCAGCCGTGTTAGTCTGTATCTGCAAAAAGAAAAGAAGTACTTGTGGCACCTTAGAGGCTAACAAATTTATTTGAGCATAAGCTTTCGTGAGCTACAGCTCACTTCATCGGATGCATGCAGTGGAAAATACAGTGCGGAGATTTTATATACACAGAGAACATGAAACAATGGGTGTTACCATCACTCTCATTACAGTGTGTATGGAAACACCCATTGTTTCATGTTCTCTGTGTATATAAAATCTTCCCACTGTATTTTCCACTGCATGCATCCAATAAAGTGAGCTGTAACTCACGAAAGCTTATGCTCAAATAGTGCCATAAGTACTCTAAGGTGCCATAAGTACTCCTTTTCTTTCTTTGAATAGGTTTGTATGCAGAGTAGAGAAATGTCCTCTAGTCCATCCCCTTGTGCTGAGGCAGGACCACATATACCTAGATCTGTGGTTCTCAAACTGTGAGTCAGGACCCCAAAGTGGGTTGCGACCCCATTTTAATGGGGTCGCCAGAGCTGGTGTTTAGACTTGGTCAGACTTGCCCAAGCCCGGACACCTGGTGCTGAAGCTGAAGCCCGAGTCACCACATGCTGCCAGGGCCAAAGCCCAAAGACTTCAGCCCTGGATGGCAGGGCTCAGGTTATAGGTCCCCGCCAAGGGCTGAAGCCCTTGGGCTTTTAGGCTCTTTCTCTCCCACCCCCAACCTGAGCCTGGGATGGTGGGACTTGGACTTTGCCCATCCCCCAGTCAGGGCAGCGGGGCTCAGGCTTCAGTCCCCCTTCCTAGGGTCGTGGGGGTTTTTTGTTGTCAGAAGGGGTCATGGTGCAATGAAGTTTAAGAATCCTTGACCTAGATCATCCAATTATGAGGATTCCACAGCCTCCCTTGGAAGACTATTCCAATACTTAACTATCCCAATACTTAGAAATGTTTTCCTAATCTCTAATCTAACTCTCCCTTGCTGCAGATTAAGCGCATTACTACTTGTCCTACCTTCAGTGGACATGAAGAATGATCACAGCCTTTAATGTATCTGAAGACTTATCAGGTTCTTCTCCTCCCCCATCCCCCCCAGTTGTCTTTTCTCAGGACTAATCATGCCCAGTTTTTTAACCTTTCCTCATAGGTCAAGATTTCTAAACCTTTGATCATTTTTAGTTGCTCTTCTCTGGACTTTCCAGTTTATCCATATCTTAAAGTGTGGAACCCAAAACTGGCTGCAGTACTCCTACTGAGGCAGGGTATGGCAGAACAGTTATCTGCCATGTCTTGCATAAGACACTCCTGTTAATACACCCCAGAATATTAGCCTTTTTCACAACTGTATCACATAGGTGGCTCATACTCAGTTTATGCTTCACTATCCTTTTCTGCAGTACAGTCTAGCCAGTTGTTTCCCATTTTGTATTTGTGCTTTTGATCTTTCCTTCCTAAGTGAAGTACTTTGCACTTGTCTTTATTGATTTTCATTATGGTCCGGTTTATCAAGATCCTCTTGAATTCTAATTCGGTCTTCCAAAGTTTTTGCAGTCCCTCCTGGTTTGATGTCATTTGCAAATTTTATACATAAATTCTCCAATTCGTTATCCAAGTCAGGAATGAAAATATTATGTAGTACTAGGCCAGGACTGACCCCTGCAGAACCCCGCTAGACATGCACTTCCAGTTTGACAGTGAATCGTTGATAATTACTCGTTTGAATATGGTTTTTCAACCAGTTGTGTACCCATTTGATAGTCATTTCATCTAGACCACATTTCCCTCTATTCATTGTGGGAATGTCATATCATGTCTACTGCTGCTCCCTAATCCAGTAGACCAGTAACCCTGTCAAAGAGGGAAGTGAAATAGGTTAGGTATTACTTGTTGTTGACACATCCGTGTAGGCCATTACTTATGCTATGTTATGTAAATCTTGTCTTTTCTAGTGCTCCGATGGGGGTCCCTGGTAAGACCATGGGGGTGATGTTCACACCTCTGACAGTGAAGTATGTTTACTATGACACTGAGCGGATAGGAGGTAAGCCGGCTTGTTGTTCTTGTTGGTTCTACCCAGAGTATTTGGGTGCTTGATTTGTGTCTGGGGATCACAGGGATCTGCATCCCTAGCTTGTGTACCTGAGTGCTGCTTACAGAAGTCATTGCCTTAGTGCTCAGTGCCTCATCTTCTTCTTTGTTTCCCTGCCCCCCATATTAGGGGATTTCTTGTTGCTGTTCAGTGCTGATGAAATGGTGCTATCAGACAGGGTGCTGGGCATTGGTGAAAGTCGAAGTGGCCCAGCATTTTGGGGCAGAGTGGCACAGATGTAGGAGTTGTGAAGTGAATGCAGAGCAATGAGCTGTGGGGTAAAATGGAGGATTGTGACTGGATTAGAAAGTGGAATCTGGGAGGGTGGAGAAGAGAAACAACCAAGTCAGGCCACAAAACCAGTGGAAAGAAGCAAAGAGATTATAGATAAAACTGGAGAGACAAAGGGAAAAGCTGTCTGTTCCTAACCTTAAAGACATTGGGAGCACTCGTCCTCGGGTCAGTAGTGGCCTTTTCTTTCAGAAGGCCGTCAACTTTGATAACACACATGCCTAGTACTTGGCATGTTTCATCTGATTTTTTTTAATCAGAATTGACATGAGACAACAGGGAACTCCTTAGATTGTATATCAGAGTTTGGAGAACTATTTCATCTATTTGACAGCACTCTGTGTAGTCCAGAGGTCTGCAAACTGTGGGATGCAGAGGAACGTTTGTGGGGGCCTGGCTGGGGACCAAGCCAGCTCCCATGGTGGGTGGGGATGGAGCACCACCCAGCTCCGTTGCCACCCGTGGGACCCTGGCTGCCAGCCCTGGCCGTGTCACCGCAGCCCGGCGATGGGGGAACGGGGGCATGGACAGAGGTAAGGGGGTGTGCAACATAAAAAGTTTGGGGACCACTGATGTAATCAGTTTCCAATTTGAGAGTGTCTCCCAGCAACTTGGGAGAGAGAAACATACAGAACCAGAAAACGTGATTGTAAAACCATTAAAAAGGGGCATTGCTATTAACTCTTAAGAACTCTATTTCAAATTATTAGCATCCCTTAAACTCCCCCTACTAAAGTGAGACTGTATATATCATGAGGCTAACTTACAAATTTCTGATTACTGGATGTGAAAATGCGTCAGGGACAAGTTGAAGATGTCTTTGGGACTTCTTGGAGTGTATAAGTTGTAACTGTACTAGGTGCCAGGCAGGCAGCATTGTCATTGCTTAGACCTGGGGAAAGAAGGCTGAGCGAAATGGCTGGAATCCCTCATTCTTTTTCAGACCAAATACTAATCTGATGCTTCTCAAGATGGAGGCCAAAACTTTCAAGCTTGGGTGCCTACAGTTTCATGTTTAGGCATTAAAGTGCTCTGATTCTTAGATGTTCTGAGCACCTGCATTCTCCATTAAGATCAATGGAACGTGTGCCTGTGTCCTCCGTTGCTCCCCCATGTAGCTAATATATTACTACTGGGGGAATTCTGCGCCAAAAAAAAATTCTGCGCACAGTATTTTAAAATTCTGCAGCTTTTATTTGTCAAAAAACATTACGTAATCACGCCAGTTTTAATTATTTTGGTGATTTATTTAAAAATACCTGTCAGCAAGTATGTCTGAGAATACAGACACACAAATTCCCTATGTGGTGGTAGAGAGTTTAAAAAAAAAAAAAAAAAAAAAAGACAATCCAGTTCCTGTTTCCCTGCCCCCTCCTCCCCACAGCCCAGTTGGGGGATGGACACCTGCAGCCTTTACCTCCCAGAACCCAGCCATGTGCCCCACACAAGCCAATACATCTGAATCTCCTGTGGCTGTGCCCCTCCCCCACCCCCCCCAGCCCAGACACCTACCCGTCAGAGCCCAGGGAAAGAGCTTGATGCTCAGTGCCAGGTTTGCGTGGAGTTTCCTGTGCACTGCAGCCACCTTTCGTCAGAGCATGCTGGGAGCTGCAGTTGCCTGGATCCCTGTAGTTCTCTCCCCATTCCCCTGGCAGTATCTTCTATGTGCGAGCTGGGCTCTGCCATGTCCAGCAGCCACTAGTGGCAGCCAGCAGCACTGCAGTCCATCTCTGTTGGGGGGGGGAAGGAAATTCTACACAAAGCACTAATTTCTGCAAAAATCTGCTTTGCACAGTGGCGCAGGAGTACTATATACCCTGTGGAAATGCCAGCATTACATTGGTAGTGAAGGCAGCACTGGAAAAGCATTTCCTGTTTTGCTGCAGCAGATGTCATCCTAAAAATCTCTGGGGAGTGGTTGGTGGTTGAAGCTGACCTTGTGACAGCCAGTTTCTCAGCATCTCTCTTCTCGCAGTTGATCTCATCATGAAAACCTGTTCGAGTCCCAGTCGAGTGATTGGCTTGTCCAGTGACTTGCAGCAGGTGGGGGCAGCGTCAGCCCGGATCCAGGATACCCTGAGCACAGTGCTGCAGTATGCAGAGGATGTGCTGGTAAGGCTAATGTCTGTGCGATCCTGTGGCCAAAAGAGCTAATATGATTCTGGGATGCATAAATGTGAATCTTGAGTAGGAGTAGACAGTTATTTTACCTCTGTATTTAGCACTGATGCGATGGCTGTTGGAATACTATGTCTAGTTCTGGTGCCTACAATTCAAGAAGGATGTTGATAAATTGGGGAATCTTTAGAGAAGAGCCCAGAGAATGATTAAAGGATTAGAAAACATGCCCTGTAGTGATAAGCTTCCCTTTGTTAAGCTAAATATATTGAGCTGCTTCAGTCTAAGGGATGATTTGATTAATCTATAAATACCTACATTAGAAAAACATTTAATAATCGGCCTTAGCCGAGAAAGTTGTAACACAATCCAACAGCTGGAAGTTGAAGCTAGATAAATTCAGACCAGAAATAAGGCATACATTTTAACAGTGAGCAACCACTGGAACAGTTTACCAAGGGTCATAATGGATTCTCCATCACTGACAATTTTTAAATCAAGTTTGGATGTTTGTATAAAAGATCTACTCTAGGAATTATTTGGGGGAAGTTCTATGGCCTGTGTTACACAAGAGATCAGACCAGATGATCCCAAAGAATCTGAATCTATTTCAGCTCATACAGGAGAGGGTGAGAGCTTTCCCTGCATTTGTGTCAGCTCTTCCTGTTCTGTGCAGTAAATTTGTTGTATCTTGCTCATAGTAAAATGTCTTTATTTTTATGGTTAGTCAGGTAAAGTGGCTGCTGACAACACTGTTGGGCGCTTCCTGATGGATCTTATTAACCAGGTGCCAAAGATTTCACCGGAGGACTTTGAGACAATGCTGAACAGCAATATCAACGTGAGTCCTGTTACTCAGTTCTTCTGGGTGTTCTTCATGAGGAATCTATCTGGGATCCACTGGGGATCCGCAGCAAATCTATTGCTTACCTGTTTCTGGGTTGTGGAAGACAAGAGAGGTGTCTGCCCTTTTTTCCCATCTATCAGCCTGGCTTCACAATTAACAAATGTTACTGAAATAAAAAAAAAAAAGTATGAAGGGAGCTATTCAGATCTGCCAGTACCCCCCAAAAGCTGAATAACAGTAGGAAGCATTAACCAAGCTTTCATAAGAACAGTCATACTGGGTCAGACCAAAAGTCCATCTAGCCCAGTATCCTGTCCTCCAACAGTGGCCAATGCCAGGTACCCCAGAGGGAATGAACAGAACAGGTAATCATCAAGTGATCCATCCCCTCTCACCCATTCCCAGCTTCTGGCAAACAGAGGCTAGGGACACCATCCCTGCCCATCCTGGCTAAAGCCATTGGTGGACCTATCCTCCATGAACTTTTTTTCTTTTTTGAACCCTGTTATAGTCTTGGCCTTCACAACATCCTCTGGCAAGGAGTTCCACAGGTTGACTGTGCGTTGTGTGGAAAAAATCCTTCCTTTTGTTTGTTTTAAACCTTCTTATTTCATTTGATGACCCCTAGTTCTTGTGTTATGAGAAGGAGTAAATAACACTTCCTTATTTACTTTCTTCACACCAGTCATGATTTTATAGATCTCTATCATATCCCCCTTTGTTGTCTCTTTTCCAAGATGAAAAGTCCCCGTTTTATTAATCTCTCCTCATATGGCAGCCGTTCCATAACCCTAATAATTTTTGTTGCCCTTTTCTGAACCTTTTCCAATTCCAATAAATCTTTTTTGAGATGGGGCAACCAGACCTGCACACAGTATTCAAGATGTGGGCGTATCATGGATTTATATAGAGGTGATTTATTATATATTCTGTCTTGTTATCTATCCCTTTCTTAATGATTCCTAGCATTCTGTGTACTTTTGTGACTGCCATTGCACATTGAGTGGACGTTTTCAGAGAACTATCCACAATAACTCCAAAATCTTTGAGTGGTTACAGCTAATTTAGACCCCATCATTTTATATGCATAGTTGGGATTGTTTTCCAGTGTGCATTACTTTGCATTTATCAACATTGAATTTAATCTGCCATTTTGTTGCCCAGTCACCTAGTTTTGTGAGATCCTTTTGTAGCTCTTCACAGTCTTGGGACTTAACTATCTTGAGTAATTTTGTATCATCTGCAAATTTTTCCACCTCACTGTTTTCCCCTTTTTCGATACCATTTATGAATATGTTGAATAGAACTGGTTGCAGCTGAGACCCTTGGGGGACCCCACTATTTACCTCTCTCCATTCTGAAAACTGATAATTTATTCCTACCCTTTGTTTCCTATCTTTTAATCAGTTTCCAATCCATGAGAGAACCTTCCCTCTTATCCCATGACAGCTTAGTTTAAGAGCCTTTGGTGAGAGACTTTGTCAAAGGCGTTCTGAAAATTGAAGTACACTATATCCACTGGATCCCCCTTGTCCACATGCTTGTTGACTCACTCAAAATTTTCTAGTTTTAATCTTAAACCTTAACATTCAGTTAACACACTACAAATGATAGAACTATATAGAAATGAAAAGGAAATCCAGAAAAGAGAAGGTGCCTGAAAAGTGTTGTAATGTTACCCAATCTTGAACTTCATAAGGAACCGAGTCACTGTTCATAGGATCATGTAAGTAATAGTTCTGTACAGAAACCTTAGCATAAGTGGTTTCCCAAAGAGAGTAATGATTTCCCCCACCCCGCATTGCATTCAGGACATTGTCCATAGGTGTAAAATGGAGACCAGGTTGCAACACAGTCCTGAAAATTATCTTCTAGGCATGATATGTCAATGACCAAAACAAAACCCCACCCTTTCTACCCACTCTCTTCATAAGAATGAGAATAGCCATACTGGGTCAGACCAATGGTCCATCTAGCCTGGTATCCAGTCATCTGGTACCTGCCACTGTCTGAGGTTCAGAGGGAATGAACAGAAAAAGGCAGTTATTGAATCATCCATCCCCTGTAGTCCAGTCCCAGCTTTTGGCAGTTGGATGTTTAGGGACACCCAGAGCATGGGGTTGCATATCGCTGGCCATCTTGGCCAATAGCCGTTGATGGACCTATCCTCCTTGAGCATAGCTTATCCTTTTTTGAACACGGTAATAACTTTTGGCCTTCACAACATCTGGCAATGAGTTCCACAGGCCGGCAGACTGCATTGTGTGAAGTACTTCCTTATGTTTGTTTTTAAATCTGCTACTTATTAATTTTCATTGTTCTTGTGTTGTGTGAAGGGGTAAATAACACTTGCTTGTTCACTTTCTCCATACCAGTCACAATTTTATAGCCCTGTATCAGATCTCCCTCTTCCCCCCTCCCGCCCCCTTAGTGATCTCTTTTAATCTTTCCTCATATGGAAGCTGTTGCATACCCCAATCATTTTTGTTACCCTTCTCTGTACATTGTCCAGTTCTAATGTATCTTTTTTGAGATGGGGTGGCCTGAACTGCATGCAGTATTCAAAGGTATGGGCATACCATAGATTTATATAGTAGTGTTAAAATATTTTCTGTCTCATTATTTCTCCTTTTCCTAATGATTCCTAACATTGTTAGCTTTTTTGACTGCCGCTGCACATTGAGTGGATGTTTTCAGAGAACTACCCATGATGACTCCAAGATCTTTCTTGAGTGATAACAGCTAATTTAGACCCCCATCATTGTGTATGTACAGTTGGGATTATGTTTTCTAATGTGCATTACTTTGCACTTATCAACATTGAATTTCATCTGCCATTTTGTTGCCCAGTCACCCAGTTTTTTGAGATCTCTTTGTAACTCTTTACAATCAGCTTTGGACTTAACTATCTTGAGTCATTTTGTATTGTTAGCAAAGTTTGCCACCTCACTGTTTAGCCCCTTTTCCAGAACACTTACGAATACATTGAATAGCACTTGTCCCAGTACAGAACATTCAGGGACCCTGTTAGTCACCTATTTTCATTGTGAAAACTGACTATTTATTCCTACACTTTGTTTTGTCTTTTAATGAGTTACTGATCCGAGAGAACTATCTCGTATCCCATAATTCCTTACTTAACAGCCTTTGGTGAGGAACTGTGTCAAAGGCTTTCTGACAGTACAAGTACACTATATCAACTGGATCACCTATGTCAGCATTTTGTTGACACCCTCAATGAATTCTAATAAATTGGTGAGGCATGGTTTCCCTTTACAAAAGCAGTGTTGACTCTTTTCCCCAACATATTGTGGTGGGGTGTCTCTCATAATTCATAATTTACTATAATTTTCAACCAATTTGCCTGGTATTAAAGTTAGGCTTACCGGCCTGTAACTGTCAGGATCCCCTATGGAGCCTTTTCTAAAAATCAGTGTTACATTAGTTGTCCTCCACTCATCTGGTACAGAGGCTGATTGAAGCAATAGGTTACATACCACAGTTAGTAATTCTCCAATATCCTATTTGAGTTCCTTCAGAATTCTTGGGTGAATGCCATCTGGTCCTGGTGACATATCACTGTTTAATGTATTACTTTGTTCCAAAACCACCTTTGACACATCCATCTGGGACAGTTCATCAGATTTGTTCCCTAAAAAGAATGGCTCGTGCGGGAATCTCCCTCACATACCCTTGATTCTTTAGCTCCTCAATTGTCCAGTAGCCCCACTGATTGTTTGCCAGGCTTCCTATTTCTGATGTACTTGCAATTCTTTTTTTCTGTTTGTCTTTCGCTAGTTGCTTTTCAAATTCTTTTTTGGTCTGCCATATTATCCTTTTACCCTTGCCAGAGTTTATGCCCCCTTCCTATTTTCCTCAGTAATATCTGACTTTCATTTTTAAAGGATGTCTTTTGGTCTCTAACAGCCTCTTTTGCTCTCTTGTTAAGCCATTGTGGCATTTTTTGGTCCTCTTACTGTGTTTATTTGGGGTATACATTTAGTTTGAACATCTAGTTATATTCTTAAATAGTTTCTATGCAACTTGCAGGCATTTCAGTCTTGTGACTGTTCCTTTGGATTTCTGTTTAACTAGCTTTATCATTTTTGTTTAGTTCCTCTTTTTGAAGTTAAATGCTACCACAGTGGGTTTCTTTGGAATTTTTTTCCCCTACAGGGATGTTAAATTTAATTGCATTATGGTTGCTATTGCTGAAAGGTTCATTTGTGTTCAACTCCTGGACCAGACCCTGTTCTCCACTTAGGACTAAATCAAGAATTGCCTCTCCCCTTGTGGGTTCCAGGACTAGCTTCTCCAAGAAGCAATCACTAATGGTGTCTAGAAATTTATCTTTACATCCCATCCTGAGATGACATATGCAGTCAATGTGGGGAGAGTTGAAATCCCCCATTATTTCTATCTTCATAGTGTCTCTAATCTCCCTGAGCATTTCAGTCACCTACACCTTTCTGCTCAGGTGGTTGGTAATATATTCCTGCTACTGTACTCTTTATTATTCAAGCATGGAATTTCTAGCCCTCTAGAGAGAATGGCATTTCTATCCACATTGTGGGAAATGTGGTCCTTTCCCAGTCTGCAACCGTCACATTCTTCATGGTTGAGTATCTGATGTGAACAAGGATTCTTAGTAACTTGTCAGGTTAGGCTGAGGGAATGAGCCTCGTAAAGAGAGAGGGCCAAAATAGGCAAAACCAGGCTGGTGACTAGAGAAACTGTTTTTAACTAGTAACCAAAAATTGGAAATAGGTGGGCAAAGCTATCTGGGAGAGATGAGGGAACGTCTCAAGGCAGCCTTTTCAGTAATTAAAGGCAAAGGATTCCTTCTTACACTTGCTAGGAATTGTGTGCATAACCTGAAAGCGCTGAGATTGTCTTGAAACATGAAACTTTTAGGACAACTGTGTAAATAGCCAGATCTTACTGCAATCTGGACTTGAAAGATAACTGGCAACTGGAATAAAAGGTGATGCACCTAATATTTTTGTCTGGTAACTTTAGGCTTCACATTTTTTAAGGAGCTATTTCTGTGATGTGTACGTTGCCCATGACAAACCTGCATCAGTACCACTTCATGCTGTGAGCCCAGCAGCTCTAACAAGCTACGCCGAGTGTATCCGTTGCTTAGAGCACGGGACTGAGCCCACTTCTGTTCCCAGCTCATCTTCCTGTGATAAGTGGAGAGAATCACAATTTCTATTCCTCAGTTTGCCCAGCTATAAATTAGAACAACTCTTAAGTGTAATGTTTGTAAGGCACTTTGAGACCCTGTGTAAAAGTGGCAAGTTTTATAAGCAGGATCAGGCTAGTTCAGTAGTTGGATGGGAGACATCCAGGGATCAGCTAGTTACTGCAGAAGGGGTGGTGTTGATTCAGTAGGAGCATTTCCTCAGAGTTGGTTTTGACCCAGTATCCCCCAAGCATTGCCTTGGGCTGCTGAATGTGCCATACCAACAAAGGCCCATATCACTTTCCCTAAGGATAGGGTTGTCGACCCCCGTGTTCTAGCTAAAATCAAATACTGGTAACTACATGGTCTCCCTTCATTTCTCCCTGCAGTTTTGATTGAGTGGAGCATTCACTTCCTGTCCTCATGTCCTAGCGTAGTGGTGGTGTGTGCTGTTTGAACAACTGCTTCAATTCATTGCTGGATAAAGAGAATCACTCCTGTGTAAAGTGGTTTGGGATTTCTAAAGATGAAAGTTTCTACTTCTGACTTGGATTGGGAATCAGGATATATGGATTTATATTCCTGATTCTCAGTGACTTGTGTGACTTTGTCGAAGTCACTTAACCACTATATGCCTTCTCTTCTCCATCTGTGAAATGGGGATAATGCTTGCAATGCTCTGAGGACTATAGATAAAAAGCACTGAAAGTTCTGAGTATTATATGAATGCAAGGTATTCCAAACTGGTGAATGAAGTGGAAACAAAGTTGTGGAGCCATCAGTGTCACTCTGAAGAATGGTGATTGGCAACTGCACTGTTTGTAAATTGCTTTAATGACACAAATTCGCATCTCTTTGATTCTCTGAATCAGTCTAATTGCTGTCCATTTCTCTTTCTCAGGACCTGCTGATGGTGACCTACTTGGCAAATCTCACTCAGTCGCAGATTGCTCTCAATGAAAAACTTCTGAGCTTATGATGGACTCCCTGCCTTCTGTCACTTGAGAGCCTGAAGATACAGCAGAGCTACTCTTCCTACAATCTGTTCTGCTACTGAATTTAGTTGGACATTAATGTAATTGCCTAAATGATTCAGTATTCCCCCATATCCCTCTTGATTCCCACCTCTGCCCCAAAAAATCCTTCCACTGTGGTTCAGATATTGAATCAAAACTGGGTGTGAGCCAGTTTTATTATTGAAAATGGAATTAATTGATGGCTACTCTTTAGTGCTCATGAGCTGCTGTCCTAGGTTAGCCATTTATATAACAAACACAACTCCATTGTATTGTGAGGATTATTGTTTCTAAATAAAGTTCCATTCCACTGATAAGAGTGACTTTGCATCCATAGGTGTGTCCTCTTCCTCAATATGTGGTAATACTGTCTTTTTAAAAAAAGTTTCCTCTCCTGAGATCAGTTATAGAGCACATAGGAGCACGCAAAGTTCTATAGAGTCCCTGTGGTAGAGGTGGGCAAACTATGGCCCGTGGGCCACATCTGACCGGCGAGATCGTCCTGCCCGGCCCTTGAGCTCCTGGCCAGGGAGGCTAGCCCCCAGCAGCCCCTTCCCTGCTCTCTCTCTTCCCCACCCTGGCAGCCTCAGCTTGCTGTGGTGGTGGGGCTGCGAGCTCCTGCTGGGCAGTGTGGTGGCATGGCTGCCAGTCCTCCTGCTCTGAGTGGCATGGTAAGGGGGCGGGGAGCATCAGGGGACAGAGGTTCGGGGGGGGCAGTTGGGACAGGGAACGGGGGGTTGGATAGGCATGGGAGTCCTGGAGAGCCTGTTGGGGTGGATAGGGGCAGACAGGGAGCTGGGGGGGGGGGAGGTTGGATATGGGGTGGGGACCGGGGATGGGGGTCAGGGGACAAGGAGCAGGGAGGGTTCGGGGGGTCGGGAGTTCTGAGGGGGGTAGTCAGGCAGTGGGAGGGGGAAGATAGGGGCCAGGCTGTTTGGGGAGGCACAGCCTTTCCTACCCAGCCCTCCATACATTTTTTTGGAACCCCTATGTGGCCCTCAGGCCAAAAAGTTTGCCCACCCCGGTGTAGACATTTGGGCTTGGGCGGGAGCCCAGGGTTTAAGACCCTGCATAGTGGGAGGGTGCCAGAGCTCAGTCTGCAGCCCAAGCCCGAACATCTACACTGCAATTAAACAGCCCCTCTAGCCTGAGACAGCAGGCACAAGCCCGTTTCCTGTTTATAACTGCAGTGTACACATACCCTGAGACTCACTGCCACTTTTTTTGTAGTCTTTTTGTAGTCAATATTTGAACTGCTATTCTCATAAATTCTGGCTTGAACAGAGCTGATCTTTCCAGCTACTGTGTTGACATGAATATTCTCTGAGCACATGACAGTGAGCACCTGTTCCCCTGCAGGTATTTAACCATGCTGAAATGAGAACTCATTGTCATATCTAGTATCAGCTGTATGTAACGATCTATTCCCCCTGTGTGCTTAGCAGAGTTCATGGTGTGTGTAAAATAATCCCCTTGCTGGCTGCCTGTGACCAGGTTCCTCCCAGGCATATATTCCACTAAGTCAACCTTTGCCAGAGCGACAGCTTGTGATTGAAGCAACCCCTTCTGTACAAACCGATATTAAAAGCATTTCTTAGCCTATTGTCTCTGCAGAGTCTGTGCATAACTCTTGGCAATCTGCCATTCAGCAAGGGTGCAGGTGCTACTGTCTGCTGTTTTAAATCCTTGAAATACAAGACTGATTGTGAACATCTTTTAGAGCCTGTGCACTGGGAAACTGAAAAAAGACTCTGGCATTGCTTTGTGTTCACACTAAAGGTGGTCTGTACTGATTTATCAGAATTAGCAATTGCTGGGGATCTTTAATATATAACAAGGACTCTGTGTGTGTGTGTTTTAATTGCAGGTGGGGAGGTGTTAATGAAACTCCAGCACTTTCTAGACACTCAAAGCTTCTACAGCAGAAATGTGCTGCAATGTGCATAATAGGGCCATGCAAATTCTGTCTCGAGAACTGATGCTGATTACTTTTCTGTACTCTGTTCTACTGTAGTTTTTAGTGGTGCTTGACACAGTTGGTTATTCTAATCAGAAGGCGCTCCCTGACTATTTGCTTAGTATATTGCTTATCAGATTTTTGCATGACTGCTGTGGAGTGGCCTTATACTACATAGCTCAAAGCAACTGTAGTGCTGATGACAAAGCCCTGGCTGGGATGATTTAATTGGGGATTGGTCCTGCTTTGAGCAGGGGGTTGGACTAGATGACCTTTAGGGGTCCCTTCCAACCCTGATATTCTATGATTCTATGACTGCTCGTGTGGGATTAGAATCAAAAATTGAGGAAAAATTTGCAGACTGTGCTACTTCTAGATGTGTGTGCATAAGCAAAGTAAAAATAGAGGCTCATGTTAATACTTGCCTGTCTATATGGCTGTACTTCAAAGGGTGAGACCAATTATAAAATCAGGCAACTAGCTGAAATGACATGTCACATTCTTAGCTGCCATCTAACTTGCTTAACAGAGGTGCCTAATCTGTTGGCACTATTAAGACAAGCATTATTTCTATTAAAAGTTTTACAAATTATAAAATGTTGCTCACATATTGAGCATAAGCTAATATGGGTTTGAATAAAAAAAATATTTTCCTCAAATTCTGAAGTGAGAGTTTTACCAACTAAATTTGTATTTGGTATCTATCAAAAACTGCAGCTAAATGTCACAGTTCAAATTCTAGCAATATATCCGAGCAGGTCATCTTATTCCTGTCAACATACATTACATTGTATTCATCAACACTGAACTTAATCTGCCATTGTGGTGATAGGTGTCTTCAGAGTTTCACACTCTCATAGAATATTAGGGTTGGAAGGGACCTCAGGAGGTCATCTAGTCCAACCCCCTGCTCAAAAGCAGGACCCATACCCAATTAAATCATCCCAGCCAGGGCTTTGTCAAGCCTGACCTTAAAAACTTCTAAGGAAGGAGATTCCACCACCTCCCTAGGCAACGCATTCCAGTGTTTCACCACCCTCCTAGTGAAAAAGTTTTTCCTAATATCCAACCTGAACCTTCCCCACTGCAACTTGAGACCATTACTCCTTGTCCTGTCCTCTTCCACCACTGAGAATAGTCTAGAACCATCCTCTCTGGAACTACCTCTCAGGTAGTTGAAAGCAGCTATCAAATCCCCCCTCATTCTTCTTTTCTGCAGACTAAACAATCCCAGGTCCCTCAGCCTCTCCTCATAACTCATGTGTTCCAGACCCCTAATCATTTTTGTTGCCCTTCGCTGGACTCTCTCCAATTTATCCACATCCTTCTTGTAGTGTGGGGCCCAAAACTGGACACAGTACTCCAGATGAGGCCTCACCAATGTCAAATAGAGGGGGACGATCACATCCTTCGATCTGCTCGCTATGCCCCTACTTATACATCCCAAAATGCCATTGGCCTTCTTGGCAACAAGGGCGCACTGCTGGCTCATATCCAGCTTCTCGTCCACTGTCACCCCTAGGTCCTTTTCCGCAGAACTGCTGCCTAGCCATTCGGTCCCTAGTCTGTAGCTGTGCATTGGGTTCTTCCGTCCTAAGTGCAGGATCCTGCACTTATCCTTATTGAACCTCATCAGATTTCTTTTGGCCCAATCCTCCAATTTGTCTAGGTCCCTCTGTATCCTATCTCTGCCCTCCAGTGTACCTACCACTCCTCCCAGTTTAGTATCATCCGCAAATTTGCTGAGAGTGCAATCCACACCATCCTCCAGATCATTTATGAAGATATTGAACAAAACCGGCCCCAGGACCGACCCCTGGGGCACTCCACTTGACACCGGCTGCCAACTAGACATGGAACCATTGATCACTACCCGTTGAGCCCGACAATCTAGCCAACTTTCTACCCACCTTATGGTGCATTCATCCAGCCCATACTTCCTTAACTTGCTGACAAGAATACTGTGGGAGACCGTGTCAAAAGCTTTGCTAAAGTCAAGAAACAATATATACACTGCTTTCCCTTCATCCACAGAACCAGTAATCTCATCATAGAAGGCGATTAGATTAGTCAGGCATGACCTTCCCTTGGTGAATCCATGCTGACTGTTCCTGATCACTTTTCTCTCATGTAAGTGCTTCAGGATTGATTCTTTGAGGACCTGCTCCATGATTTTTCCGGGGACTGAAGTGAGGCTGACTGGCCTGTAGTTCCCAGGATCCTCCTTCTTCCCTTTTTTAAAGATTGGCACTACATTAGCCTTTTTCCAGTCATCCGGGACTTCCCCTGTTCGCCACGAGTTTTCAAAGATAATGGCCAATGGCTCTGCAATCACAGCTGCCAGTTCCTTTAGCACTCTCGGATGCAACTCATCTGGCCCCATGGACTTGTGCACGTCCAGTTTTTCTAAATAGTCCCTAACCACCTCTTTCTCCACAGAGGGCTGGCCATCTATTCCCCATGTCGTGATGCCCAGCACAGCAGTCTGGGAGCTGACCTTGTTCGTGAAGACAGAGGCAAAAAAATCATTGAGTACATTAGCTTTTTCTACATCCTCCGTCACTAGGTTGCCTCCCTCATTCATTAAGGGGCCCACACTTTCCTTGGCTTTCTTCTTGTTGCCAACATACCTGAAGAAACCCTTCTTGTTACTCTTAACATCTCTCACTAGCTGCAGCTCCAGGTGCGATTTGGCCCTCCTAATTTCATTCCTACATGCCCGAGCAATATTTTTATACTCTTCCCTGGTCATATGTCCAACCTTCCACTTCCTGTAAGCTTCTTTTTTATGCTTAAGATCCGCTAGGATTTCACCGTTAAGCCAAGCTGGTCGCCTGCCATATTTACTATTCTTTCGACTCATCGGGATGGTTTGTCCCTGTAACCTCAACAGGGATTCCTTGAAATACAGCCAGCTCTCCTGGACTCCTTTCCCCTTCATGTTAGTCCCCCAGGGGATCCTACCCATCCGTTCCCTGAGGGAGTCGAAGTCTGCTTTCCTGAAGTCCAGGGTCCGTATCCTGCTGCTTACCTTTCTTCCCTGTGTCAGGATCCTGAACTCAACCAACTCATGGTCACTGCCTCCCAGATTCCCATCCACTTTTGCTTCCCCTACTAATTCTTCCCAGTTTGTGAGCAGCAGGTCAAGAAAAGCTCCCCCCCTAGTTGGCTCCTCTAGCACTTGCACCAGGAAATTGTCCCCTACGCTTTCCAAAAACTTCCTGGATTGTCTATGCACCGCTGTACTGCTCTCCCAGCAGATATCAGGAAAATTGAAGTCACCCATGAGAACCAGGGCATGCGATCTAGTAGCTTCTGCGAGCTGCCAGAAGAAAGCCTCATCCACCTCATCCCCCTGGT